AAACCCAATTACTGGCCACCAAACCTCAGGTAGTATGTCAAAGCTGACTACTTGGCGTGGCACAATATAGCCACTATAATGCAATATGTTCAGTCATTACAATCTCGGTATAGGTCTTATCAGATGTCACGCTGTGCGAAATTGATAGCATGTTTGGCGAACGTAATAGCGCGCACAGTGCGTGGGTATCACGCTGAAGCCGGCGTATACGCCTATAGCAACTGTGTCTATAATATTTATCGATACTAAAATAGTCGCACCCCGCAGCGAAATTTTCTTTCCCACTTGAGTTTCGGACCACAGCCAATCAGCGCACTCCATTCACTCGACTTCCTCGAAGCAACAATGTAAAATGAATACCACCTATCCCTAACCCTAATACTAACCCTAACCCTAACCCTAAACCGTACCCGAACCCTAACAGTAACTATAATCCAACCATATATATACGAACCATATATTACAAAACACTATCTATGGTGGGTCCGGAACTGAAGTGGTAAAAACAATTACGCCACTCGGCATGCGGTTAATTAGCATTCAGTTATATCGTTATAGCAACAAGACAGCTATAACATCTAACGTGACAAATAGATGACGGCGGGATCAGTATGATTGCCCAGTGGCCAGTGTGTGCGTAGACGGTGTCGTTTGTTCATAGCAGTGTGCATTTACTGACCAATAGGTAGCCCACTAAAGATATTATCAGGAGTGTATAATATAGAACATGTATATATATGTATATATATATATATATATATATATATATATGTGTGTGTGTATGAAAGTAGAATAGACTAAATAGAATAAAATAAGGGATAGAAGTAAAATAAAATACAAATAAGAAAAAAAATAATAAATAAAATAAATAAATAAATAAATATAAATAAATAAATAAATAAATAAATAACATAATGATAAATAAAGTAAATAAATAAATACATATTACGTCTGTACACCGGTGGGGCAGGCCAGGCAGGCAGTAACTTGGTATGCGTATACGCTGACGCGCTGACTGCGTTTCGATGATGGAGACAAGGATGTAGTCAACCAATTACGCTTCCACGGCCGTAGACGTAAGTACGATTATGACGTAAACACGAGCGTGCTCCAACCCCCCTCCGACTGTGCAACTCTTTCTATCGGTTAACACCCTCTGCAACGCCACCACCCGCTCCCCTAGCAAAAGACGCCCTACCCCGCAGGCTCCCCCGATGTGACCGTAGTCAGTCGAGACCGAAGGGGAGGGGGGGTCACGGCCAAAAGAGGTCAGGCAGGGTGCGGACAGTGCCGGTGCGTGCTCTAGGAGCTGTTGAGGCCCGTTGCATAAAAGGGTGTGGGAGATAAAAGAATAACATGTGCTGTCGATATACACATGCCTCGGGAACGGTTTCTCTGATATCAGAGAGCACTAACTTGACCAATATGTAAAGCTTGTGTGTCGGGCAAATGTGAGAGCAATTGAGTGGAGAAAACGAGTCCTTGTATGACTTAGAGACGATTAAGTCGACTTCAGGGCTGAGCATGATTTAATATTAACCTGTGCTTTGTAGTGGTCTAATAACTTAGCTGCTTAGAGGCTAATCCTACAGGTGGGCACGGCTAAGACTGGCACGAGCTAGCGCAGTCGACGCACCAGGTATAGGGCGCACGCACGGCACGCACGCACGGCACGCACGGCGACTAGCACATGCTGGCACACACACCACATGTAGACCACAGCGATTAAGAACGATGACTCAGCTGCAGTGGCACACACGACAACAGAGCAAGAGAATCACGTAGAGCTATTCTACACACAATTCAGAGACATTTTCAGTTCAGAATCCGGCGATGCTTTCTCAGAACTGCTACTTTACACCGGCGAGTGTGGCGCCATCTTCTTGCAAATCTTCTGTTACCACAGATTTAAGCTCTCACGATTAATAATCTCTCTGTCATACCGCGGTGCTTCTTGAATATTCTTCACTGCTACTCGTCTCTCTGGTATTAATACTCATCGAAGCACTAGGCTGGAATCAGTGTTGATCAATCTTACTTGGCTCTTTCGAAGACTTATCTAACGTCCTAATACGAGAACGAAATGGTGTTCGAAAACACGCAACGCACACACACATACACTCCATCTCATACGGGTCACTCCACACATCTTCTCCAATCATCTCGTCTCTCCATCTCACCATGTCTCATTGCTCACGCCGCGCAGGGCGCTCCACACTCACTACACCACACAGGGCGTCTCCAGCATCTTCGCTCTTTCAGTCCTCTCGGCGCGCTCTCTCTCTCTCTTTCTGCTGTCTTCTTTCTCTTACGGCTTCACGCATCACCTACCGCTCCAAGAGAGAACGAGAGAGAGAACGAAAGAAGAAAGAGAGAGAGAGATGAGAGAGAAGAGAGAGCGCGAGCACACGACAACACACACACAGCACACACACACAGCCACACACGCACCCCCATAATATATAATAATACTTATTTATTTATATATATGCGGGTTTAC